GGAGGGAGAGAGAGAGGGGGGGAGGAAGGAGTAGGAGGGGAGTTTCATGAGAACAAAAATTTGTTTTCATTTTTAAAAAAATGATAACTAGTAAACGACCCCCCGTCCCCAAACACTGGCCTTTCAGATAAATAGAGACAACACGATTTTCGACAAGGGAAAGACAATGTCTTGTCAGTGAAGACTTGTCCTACTACAATCAGGAGGGGGGTGGGGGGTGGGGGGGTGTATGTATACTCCGACCGTTGTACAGTTGTTTCCTCTCCGCTGTCTAACTATTTTTAGTTTTGGTAAAAGTTTTACGGCACTTACAACACAATAAGGTCATATATAAGTACCGAAGAATAGACGGGTTAAAAGAGAGTAAAATACACCAAAAAAAAGGAGGAGAGATTATAAGGATGATAGTTGTTTGACAAGAAAGAAGGAGCAAACCACGCCAGAGCACCCACCAACCACCACCTGTCTTATTATAATTTTTTGTTCTTTTCTTTGTTACAATCTAGTTTCGTTGTGTCCTTTTTTTTCATATGTTTAGTTGTTGAAAAGTAACCAGTGCTCAAGTCATGGCTCTCTTTCTGTTTAATCTCCTCATAATGCCCTTTTTTTTTTTAAATGTACGCAATTGTAGCGTGGGTAGTTGGCGGATGGTCCCTTATTGTTGGCTTCTTCGTTCATATTAAACATCTGTCGTCCTTCTGTCTCTTCTTTCTTTTTTGAGTTTATTACTCTCTTGTAACACCTCTAATTTTCGCACTGGCACTGATATTACCTAATTGTGTTGCAAGTGCATAAAACGCTTACTAAAACAAACTAAAACACAATTAGTTGGCAGGTGCTCTGGTGTGGTTTGCTCCTTCCTATCAACCATCTATCGTTCTTATCACCCCTTCTATTTTATGTTTGTTACTCTCTTGTAACACCTCTAATTTTCTGGCGCTCATAGGACCTTATGCAGTTGCGAGCGCCGTAAAACCTCTACTAAAACTAAAACACATTTGTGGAATGCGCTGAAGAAATGTATTAATCCCACAAGAGGCCAAAAATTTGATAAAGTCACTAAAATGTCGTAGAATAAAGTCAACGTAATTGAATAATTACTTTTGATGTTTCAGACCCATCTTCAACACACATGATAGATAGTGCAACTGTCACAGGATATCCGTGAAGCCTGACGCACTATTCAAGATTCTCGGTAAGTCCTACTTCGTACCTAATGTTACGTCTCTTTTTACTGCTGTCTGTCTATCCTGGTTCTTTTGTTATAATCACTATCATACTAACTTTATCTAAAAAAAAAAAAATACAATGACCGAAACACAACGATACGATTGAGGATGAAATAATCTGTGGAGTCCCACAGCTGTCATCATTATTTATGTTTTTTATATCACAATTATTTAATCGATTTATATCATCATTATGATAATAATCATTATCAGCAATCAACATTAAACATTGCTATTATAATTTTGTATTTTTTTTTAGGCCAACAAGTACATACCCATATTGTCTGTCTCGTCTTGCACAGCGTTAATTCTCGCAAACTATAACTTGAACCATCCACCCCTGATAGAAACTGGATGCTACTTCACCCAGAGAGTACAAATGAATACATGGATTGTGCTATGACAATTGAATCGGATACGGTCAAACTTAAAACTTGAAAGGGGGGG